GAACAACCCCCCCCTTCTGAAAATGGTTCAGTAAATTTTACTCCAAAAACTAACTCTCTGTGCAAAAAGTTATGGCCGTGCAAAATTTCTCAAGTACACGCTTGTAATGTGCATGTGTGAAATGAAAATGTGTTTCTCAAATTGTGTTTTCTATGTACTACCACTCTTTTCGTCATAACTCGGTAATGGTACATGCAATTTGAAATGTTCTTATATCATATGTAGAGCAGGTTCTGCCCTACATGTTGACAAGAAAACAGGAAAATGAGTACCAGGTCTAAGATGATTACAGTAGACCGAACAGATCCCAGATCTTTAAAAAGAATGTTTAAATGACCAAAAAGAGATTACCTGCGGTGTGTAGCCAAAAAGTCTCATATCAACCGCACACAGTGCACAGGTGCATCTTAAACTAGTCCTACGTTTTACACCCAAGAGAAAAGCTTAGAACCACATTTACTCACTTGTTAGGAGACAAAGTTAGCTCCAGGGGTGTCCCACGAGACCTGGGCGCGAAAATTGCTCTTTCAAAGTGCAGCTACCCGTGCAAGAGAGATTGAAACCCCGTCGTTATAGTTGTTTCCGTGGCGGATATGGTCAGCGCTAATGCTGACATTGCGGCCTCCGCACTGCTCGCTTTGTAAGTAAACAACAACTTTTTGCTGGAAAAGGGAAGGAGCCAATTGCACAAATCAATTAGAAGCAAAAACTTAGTTTAGTTAATGTCTCCAAGCTTCTCTAGACGCTCTTCATTTAGAGTCCAGTGAACATCTCCAAGCTTCTCTAGACCGTCTCCAGTTAGAGTCCAGTGAACGTATCCAAGCTTCTCAAGACCGTCTCCAGTTAGAGTCCAGTGAACGTCTCCAAGCTTCTCCAGACCAGCTCCTTGGAACTCTTCACAACAAGTTCACCAAATCAAAGGGACGTGCAAATCGAACTGCTCGCGTTGCATTTGTTTTTTAGTGGGCACAATACGGCAAATTTTTTTAGCGGCACTGTACACTGGATCTGTACCTCACTGCTATGCAATTCCACAATTGGTGAATATTGGCTTCATGGTCCCCACAAAAAGGTAGCTTCCAATCTGGTTATATCACTGTGGTCCATGTGCTGCATTTCTCTGCATGTTATTGTTACTGCACTACTGACAAGACTTATCGCTACTCAGGTCCAACTGTTGCAGCCTTTTGATTCCTGACTGGATGAAGAAACTCTCTGCTAGTTTTGTGGAATAGCAATGTTACTGTTTTTGTGTCAATGTTGAATATACATTCCCTGGCAGCATTAGAAAGATAGGCAGACTGGTCCTGGCGAACAGCTATTTGGAAAGCCTAAATCGGGTATGTTGGCGAGGCCTGCAAAAAAAGGTCGCGTGCAACAGCCATACTTGTAACACACTGTTAGGAAAGCACAGTTAGACTACGGTAACCGCAATTGACCAATCAGATTCCGAGTTTAGAGGTAACTATTTTTGTTAGTTACCTCTTCCGCCGTAACTATTTCGCGGCCCTGCGGCACTTTTTTTTTATTATGCGTATTGCCCATGGCAACCACGCCTTGAATTCGAGAGACGCTGTGCGTGCGGAAGGCAAACGGAGCTTCCGGAGAGGTTCTTTCTCACGAAAAACCAGGTTCTCCGTCTTCTAGTAGGAAGCGGTGCATGACTACAGGGCCCTAGCTACAGCTCGAACCAGACGCGCACGCTAGAAGTGCGAGAAGCACCCAGCGGCCCCACCTACTTTCGCGTTTGCGAGCCTCGCCGCCTAGAACAAACACTCTACTGCTGCTATAGCCTTGCTGGTATAGTCGTTGTTGTACGCCTGCTCGAACTGGCTGCTGACAGCTGCAAATAGCCTGTCTACTTCCAGTTCATCCTCAGCAAGAAAAGCTCCATAATCTGTGACCCCAGAAAGCCGTCCATCCTTAATGTAGCGTGCGTTGTTATGCATTGCTAGCGCCTGCGCTGTAGTTTAAGAAGGTTATATGCATTGCCTTGGGAACTACGCGCTTTAGTTAGCCTCGGGGCCCTGGTAGTAGCACCCTCGCTGCACTCGGGGCGCCGACAGCCCCAGGGCCCTCGGTTCACTAAACTGCGTAGTTCCCGCAGCTCCGCATCTAACCTATATTTAGTGTTCCCTATCGACATGTTCCGTATGCATAACAGCAACACTCTAGTGCCACTAGTTCACGAGATATTTACACTCAAGCAAACCTGCAACAAGTTGTCAAAACCTGAAGAAGTTTTTACATGGCTGGAAAACAGATTGTGTCAAAAACTAACTTTTGCCCATTGCGGGTCGACTGAGCTCTCGGCACAAGGAACGCTGTTGTGTATTGATTGATAGAGTTTATGTGCACAATTCGCATGCACAGATATAATTTATGGTCCGGTGGTCTAACCCATCAAAAGAGCCTGTTTCTTGTAACTTTACCCCTCCATGGTGCACTGAACTGGGTCAACATAAAAAAAGTACTGATTGTGCATATTAGGCTTTTCACTTTCTTTCACGAAGGTATATAACAAAGGTTCACTAAAATCACCATTATATTTTTTACGCGCTTTTATATTTCTTAGTTTGTATCATAGACTGTACTGTAACGCTGCGCATGGGCACTGAGGATTAATTCCTTCCACTGTGAGGAAATTTGGTATACTTCAGTATTACAAACATAGCCAGTAACAAAATTGTAAACTTACCGCACCATTAAACTCCAGTGCATGCACCAATGATAACCGATCTTCAAACTCTACATAGCAAAAACCTGTGTGATAATGAGCATCATTAATTATTTCTTGGGGAACAATATAAAGAGCACTTCAGCCCATTGGTAGTCAGGTTATGTACAGTAAGGTCATGATGAACCTCTCTACAGCACTCTTCTCCCATACTCATTAAGCATGTGCAGCAAACTGAGGCGTCGTGACTGGAAACCCAGTTTACTATGCAGCGAGCTACAACACCAAGACAAAAGCTGGTCTTCCCTATGTACAACTTCCAGCGGTCGTTGCCTTGTATCTACACACTCGCACTGGCAGTTGCCACGTCATGTGCCATCAGAAACCCCCACATAACACCTCTACGCCATGAGCTGCCAGAAATATTCTTAGTTGCCCAGTAGATGATATCGGAAGAATGTTGGAAGTTCATATCTTTCGCTTTTCCTCCTAACTTTGAATATTCGATTTCCAGTAACGACACCTGAGTTTGCACACCTTGAGTTGAGGAAAAAAAGTCGGTTCTTTCTCTTTTCTGCCTGCCCAGTGATATCCAACATTCTTCAGATAGGAACCAACTAAATGCTATTGTGTATATACTATATGGCGGGCAAAGATGAATGGAGCTTCGTACAAATTTCATTACTCACGTATTATGCACTAATGTGTAAAACCCTCGGCACAATAGCAGTGCCTATTTCCTCTTACCTACAACACGCATACGCATGAAGTACCGGTCATGGCATTGGAACACGTACTCAGTGTTGTTCTTGTCACTTTAACACACGCTAGCTACTTTAGCAGGCAGTTTGTGGTAATGCTAGTTAGACTGGATACTCTTCTTCAAATTACATTCATGCCTGCATAGTGCAATGAATGGGCAAAAAGCAATTGAGCCAAGCCTTGCTACATCTTTTTCACTTGTGGTTTACGACATAAATACTTAACAGAGCAGTTTCAGGAATCTCGCTTTATATTTATCTGTTGCACTAAGTCTGTTGGTATCGGTCTTTAACTGCCTTGGAGCCTGTAGCGCTAGAATCCTTCTGCGACAAGAAGAGATAGACAGAAACACTTAGTATTGTTACCCAAGTTGCACAGAGGGTTTAAGAGAACTTGCCTTTAAACCTATCTGTTTCTCGGTCTCGAACCAGTCGAACTGTCTTTACCTAACAGAATAAAAAAAGCTTGTAACGAAATAATTTTCTTGAGGGGTGGTACGTATAAAGGGATAACACATGAACTGCTGCAAGCATGGTATTATACTGGTAAGATGAGAACGTCTTCATCGCTTCTATCCCTCATCGAGAATACACCCGTGACTGGCATTGATGGGCGTGTTCTGCTCCGCACTATCGCCAAACCTACACCCAACTCAGTTGGGTGGTCTCAGTCGGGATCGGATGGTTCAGAGCATGCCCAGTAAGCAGTTCAATTGTAAAACTTACGTCACCCATCCTTGCTTATATATATGTGCTTTCATTTGTGCTTACGCTATGAACAAAGGTTCACCAGAGAGCCAAAATAATGAAAAGCACTGAAGTGCAAACCCTCGGTGCATTGTGACGCGCACGCGTGAGTAAACGCATGCGCTGTATCACTAATCGATGGGCTGGGTTTAGTTTCAGCTGTTACTCGTGGTCTCTTGTCAGCTCGCGCAGAGTCTGACGGGGGCTAACTACACTACTAGATAGCATGCGAGAGGCGATACACGCCCTGCGTTGCATCTTCTGGTGTCTCCGAGGTACGCAGAGCACGCGGATCGATCAGACCGCGGTAAGCCTTCCCGTCCGTTGCGTATTTGCATATTGGCTTTTTCGCGCTCTAGCTCTGCAACGGAGCATTTTGAGAGAAAACCCCACATATTTTCTGACCTTCGTCGCCCGTTGGGTAGATGGTATCGTTTCTGGGACGAACAGACATTCGAGAGGTGAGATGTAGAGTAACAGACAGACACACAGACACATGGACAGACCCAAGTACTGTAACCCTCGCTGCGCATGCACACCGAGGGTTAATTATGTTGCCAACTACATGTATAACTTTGTAGGCATATCTGGCAAACGCCAAGTTCGCGCCCTGATTAGTACAGAACATGTGATGGGTTTAGTTGTGTTCAGAGAAACAGGGAATTAACTCTTTCGTGGGCGAAGGCGCATTTATGCGCCCTACGTAAATCTGCGTGTGTGGGCGAAGGCGCTTTCTTGCGACCATTGTGAAAGCAGTTTGCAAAGCTTCTTGCACCCTGCTCACGCTAGTTTGCTTGGTGGAGGTTGTTACATCACTATACTACATGATAATGCCAGCTACCTTCTGCTTGGACCCAGAGATGACAGCTGAAAAGCTTTCTAACGCACCGTGTTAGTACCACACGCTCGAAGGTAAGCCGCTAATAGTGTAACACTAGCTCAGCGGCAGTAGAGAAGGCGCCTCACCCGTTCACATAGAGAAAGAGAAGCAGTTGCGCACGCAGCGTGTGACACCCCCCCAAGGCCTCTGTAGTTACTCCAGGGGATTTCCTCACTGTGAAGATATTTCTTCTAGAACCTACGTGGGTACTGCATTCTCGTTGCTTCGCATTTGCGCTACGAAAAAAACCTTGTTTCGCTCCCCCGCTAGCGAGTCTCTACCGCGTTTGCGGAGGGCGTGGCACACGGAATTCACAACTGAACGGAAACGGAATGGAACGATAGTGAACGGCAAACGGAAAGAAATGGAACGAAACTGGAAACGTTTTTTTGACTGCTACTGTACCAGTGGCTTTCGACATTTATGGTCGGCCTGGGTGTGGCTTTCCTTTGATGTCTTCATCATGGAAACTGGTACTATACGCGTATATGCTCTGCACTAAAAGGTTAGATACTGGATGTGAGGAACCTACGTAAATTCAGAACCTGACGACGGAGCACCGAGGGAATGTCGCCTGAGAGTTTCTAAAATTACATAAGTCCCTTGTGTCAAGTGTCAAAGCTACAGAGGGTTTAAAAAATGTTTCCAATTTCGTTCTGTTCCATTTCGTTGAGCTTCCGTTCCCTTCTAAAACGCTGTTCATTTATCGCTGGAATTCGTTCCGTTCCATTCCGTTCCGTTTAGAATCGTTGCCATACATGCGTTCGCGTGATGGCCGTCATTCGCGAGATGCGAAGGCCTCACTGTGAAGATATTTTTTCTAGCACCTGCGTGCGTACTTCCTTCTCGTTGCTTCGTGTTTGCGCTAAGCAAAAACCTTGTTTCGCTCCCCCGCTAACGAGTCTCTACCGTGTTTGCGGAGGGCGTGTCACGCGGAATTAACAACTGAACGGAAATTGAACAGAAACAGAATGGAACGATAGTGATAGGCAAGTAGAAAGAAACAGAACGAAATTGGAAAAGTTTTTTACTCCTACTGTATTTTTATTAAACAATGAGTTACATACTCGGTTTGCTCTGCCTAGTATTCTGGGTGTATGGTCTATGTATCACTGTCATTTGAGTACCAGGTATACACCTTCTTTGACAAGCTATGTAGAAACTAAGAATACGAGAAACAAGTGTTGCCACTCAATTGTGCACCCTAACCTGCACATCATGAAATATAGCATCGAGGTCTCCCTGGACAGTTTGAGGTGGCAAGTTTCCCACAAACGCTACGAAAGGAGGTTCACTCGGTACTTCAGGAACACCTTCTCTAGATGGACTCCACTGTGATCGCCCTTTCTGGTGACCAGCATAGCTCCGAGCTGCTGCACTAAAAGCAGAAAGAAAAGGTTAATACGTAATATGAAGGACGATTATTTAAATACACCACCTGAGTCCCTCGGCGTGCATGCGCAGCGAGGGTTACTGTAGTTGGGTTTGTCTGTCTGTCTGTCTGTTACTCTCAATCTCACCTCTCTGATGTCTGTTCGTCTCACAAACGATGCAACGTACTCAACGGGCAATGAAGGTCAGAAATTTCGAACAGTTTTCTCTGAAAATGCCCCGTTGCAAAGCTAGAGCGCTTCCAGCATTGTAAGGCAAATGCCGGTAGTCGCCATTTTATCGCTGGCGGTTAAAAGCGCATGCGCTTATATTTAGCACAGGCTTACCTCGACCGGGTTCGCTTGCTCTTGAAGTCACAACGAATGGCGTGTATCGACTATCGCGTGCTATCTACAACTGTAGCTAGCTAGCCCGTGTCAGACTCTCTGCGAGCTACTTCGCCGAGGGTTTGCACTTTAGTGCTTTTCATTATTATATGTTAAATAGTTGGCGCTGAACTATAGGATGAAAGATCAATGAATCCCTCCAACATGCATTTCTTTATTTCACTGTCCAGGTCCAAACTGGAGTCACTTGTACCTCACAGTATGTTTACCAGGCAGGGGCTCAACAAGGAACTGGCAGTCCAGTCCGTCTTCGGGTTTTGTGCAGTGGGTTCTTTCTGGGAGAGCAAATCCTTGATATTATAGTAGTCATTGTTGCAAGCTGTTTGTACACGTGCAGCAGCTAATTTAATGCTGCCTTGTGTGGTCTCTATCACTTGGTATATAGTGTGGTAGTATTTTTGAATATAGCGATAAGCATGGTATAAACCCCACTTGTTCATCTTCTTAAACCCCAAAACCAAAGCAATGAAACGTATAAATGTATCAGAGCGTCATCCACATAGAAAATGCCTCCAAACTCGGCGAGAATTCCTATGTAGGCCTTCTAAAAACACCAGCAACAACTCTCGGGCCCATCTCCAGCTATACATACAGTACGTAAGCCCAACGCATCCATACATGCCTTCAGTTTTGCATGCGAGGATCTGCTCATACGCGACTTCACGATTTTCGTGTTATATATTCTTCATCATCATCATCGTTTCTTCAGTAAACCTGCTACCGCCTTACCAGAACTAGCTGAAGCACTGATTTTCCCACTAAATGTCTTCACAGTCAACGGAGGTATTAACGGACATCAAGCGATCGTTTTCTTCTGACATACATCTCTACAATAAATCATGGGGCTCTTCATGGTAGACACTGAACGACGCTATTTGCTGCTAACTCAGCATGCACAGTGTGGGGGGTGTCGGTGTGCGCACGCGTGAAGTCTGCGCAGTGCGTGTGCGCGTGGTGCAGTGAACAGTTTCACCACAACTACATCTTTCTTGTTGGGGTTTGCCCCAAGTTGAAAAATGAGTGCATCAAGTGGAAAAATCATTTCTATAAAATGAAAGGAGATGTAGGTATGTCACATCATGAAAAATAAAGGGAACAAGATGCCTACACCAAGACAGTCATTCATAACCCCATCCCTACATCTTTGTTTCTATCAAGATCCGCACTTCATGTACACATGCGGATGTTAAGAGGTTTTTATGTTCTTTCATTGCTTAATGCATTCATGACCAGAAACATTACTGAGCAAAACAAAGATGTAGGGACGGGGTTATGAATGACTACCTGTCTTGGTGTAGGCATCTTCTTGTTCCCTTTCTTTTTTATGTGACATCGCTACACCCCCTTTCATTTCATAGAAAAGATTTTTCCACTTGTATACATGTCTGATAAGCAGATGATCAAGGTCAGTTGCTTGTTTAGCCCCAGGCAATAGTTATGAAGGGTACACATGTTCGTGTAATTCACATTGTAAGAGCTATGTATGTGAAAAGTGAATGAAACCTTGTCTACATCCAACCACCAGCAAAAAAAACAACAATTATGCAGCTACAAAAAGACTCTGGCAATGTACTATAACTGGCCAACAATATATCATACGTTTATTAAACTTCATACACTGTGTACTGCAACTTCCCCATGACACTTAGAGATTTTATAAACAACAACAGATAGCATCAGGCACCTTTCATTAATTATTTCTTCCCAAACGTGCATGCATGGAGATCAACTTGGTAGAAACATGTAATACATCACTCTATCATTACAACAGGCAACTTTATTTCACTTCTCAAACTTGCTGGTAGAATGTACAGATATGAAAGTAGTAACATAGGGATGGTAGAAAAGGAAACGAGACAAGATAGGAAAATGTGAACACACTGATATCCACAAGCCCATCGTACATTGACATGGGTAAAGGATGAATTCGAGTTTTGGCTCGGTACTGGCAACGCCTTGTGGGGATGAATCTCATTAGTTCAGAACCACAAGCGCCGCGCCTGAGCAAAGCCTTGTGGGGATTAGTTTAAAACCAAAAGTGCTGCGCTCAACTTTGCCGTTATAAACTCGTGATGCCAGAGAGAGAAGTTGCAGTATGCTTTGCTGATGAGGGCTAACAAGCCCGAAACAGCTGTCCAGAGCTCCACATCTTTTTTCTCTTGGCATCACATGGTCTATTGTTACATGGGTAAAGGATGAGACATCCACCATTATGCTTCAGCAGGAGGTAAGCTTGAGAAGACAAGGGACAATGTTCTACGCAGTGGAAAAGTGCCTTCTTTATACGGTGAAACAAAACCATTATAATAGAGTTTGACAGCGGCCCACCAGGCAACAATAAGGGTTTATGTTATGGGGCTCAGGGCGTCAGAGTGCTTACAATCTGTCTGTAAACCATGATTTATCCTTGTTTTGCCTACATTATCACTAAGTACGGTAGTACTTAGTATATATGGATGGGCATGGTACCACAGCGTCATAGATGTATGTGGCTATGATCACTAAATACGGTAGTACTTAGTATATAGGGATTGACATGGTACCTAGAATCATAGATGTATAGGGCTATGATAGGGAGTTTTGCTCATCTTCTTCTTCTTCTTCTCCTTCTTCTTGTTCAGATTCAATACCCATAACTCAAAAACGAAACAACATATAGTAATGAAATTTTGTAAGAATGTAGATATCCATCACCCGAAGAGACTGGTCATACTTATTTCTTTGTAAACAACAACAAATAGCCCCAGACAATACATTATAAAGGGATCGCATGTGTCAGTATAACTCACAAATGGTAAGAGCTATGTGAACGAAACATTGTAGACATAATGTATTCAATTACCAACATAAAAATCACAACAATACATGTTTGTAAATAACAACAAATAGCCTCAGGCACTTTTCTTTACATTTACTTCTTCACTCCCCAACGGTAGCATGCATAGAGATGAAACTTGATATGTATGCCTATTATATCATTTCTATGACGATTACCTGTTTCCATGACGACTGCATTTTGTTTGAAAAAGCCTCAGGCAATTTTCTTTAAAACTACTTCTTCACTCCTCAAACTTGCTAACTGTAGCACGCATGGAGGTGAAACTTGGTGCGCATGTGCTATTACATCGATGCAAATGACGATGGACAACAACAATAGCCATCAGGCACTTTTCTCTAAAATTACTTCTTCACTCCTCAAACTCGCTAACTGATAGCATCATGGAGGTTAACTTGGAGCGCATGTGTATTACATCGTTTCCATGACGACCACAACAACAAATAGCCTCAGGCACTTTTCTTAAAATTACTCCTTCACTCCTCAAACTTGCTAACTGTAGCACGCATGGAGGTGAAACTTGGAGCGCATGTGTATTACATCGTTTCCATGACGACCACAACAACAAATAGCCTCAGGCACTTTTCTCTAAAATTACTTCTTCACTCCTCAAACTCGCTAACTGTAGCACGCATGGAGGTGAAACTTGGAGCGCATGTGTGTAACATCGTTTCCATGACGACCACAACAACAAATAGCCTCAGGCACTTTTCTTTAAAATTTCTTCATCACTCGTCAAACACGCTAATGATAGCATGCATGGAGGTGAAACTTGGAGCGCATGTGTGTAACATTGTTTCCATGACGACCACAACAACAAATAGCCTCAGGCACTTTTCTTTAAAATTTCTTCATCCTCCTCAAACTTGCTAACAGCAGTACACATGGAGATGAAACATGGTATGCACATCATTTCCATGACGACAACAGGCATTTTTTCTCTAGTATTTTAATTTTTTATAGGGGCTTGCCCCATTCGAGATAATACGTAGTAGTATATAAAAATGAGTGGAGACAAGTAAATTAAAAATCCTGCGAATTTAAAAAAAGAGGCATATAGGGATCGTATAAAAAGAAAGGGAGACAAGATAGGGATGGGATACATGAAACATGGGTAATGAACAGATTTCAGTATGCTGACACCCCCAACCCCATCACACAATCCCTATATTGTTGCCTAGGTGAAGTATTAAACATTCACCAATACAATACTCAGAACTTACAATACACTACTGAGTAACCAACACCCTTATAGAGTCCAAGTGGAGTTTAAAAGGCAATTGGGCCGTATAAATGTTACTAAAAACAACAGGGACACGGTGAAAGAACGCTTGATTTTAGCCCCTATAAGAGTATCACACCAGGCAACAATATAGGGAGTACGTATAAGAGCAGCACACACACATCAGGCAACAATATACGGATTGTGTGATGGGGTAGGTGTGTCAGCTTCATGTATCCCATTCCTATCTTGTCTCCCTTTCTTTTTATACCATCCCTATAATTATGCCTTTTTTTTAAATTTGCAGGATTTTAAATTTATTTGTTCTATATGTAGTACTTATACCACGTCTACTAGCGTGTTATAGCAAAAACCCTAATGAATGTGTTGAAAATCCCGAGGGTGCAGCACATTCCTGAGGGTTTTGCGGAAACACCCGCAGTAGGCGTGGTATAAATAATTTATACCATGGTAACGGATTGCGTCATCATTTTCGGACCATATTTGGGCACGGCTGTGGACCCGCCGCCATTTTTAGCTGCCAGGTCGATTGGACCGAATGCTCGTTCTCTTTGACGATTGCACCACTGCAGGCATCCTTAGTGAAAAGGTATGCAGATGAGAAGGTTATGAACCGCCTAGAACTATCGCGGTCAGTCGTCCTTCTCTGCCGAGTCAAGAAGTGAGTAAACTGACTGTGTACAAGACTGAATACTAATTCGTTTAGCGGTCCAGAAAAATTGTAGGCAGAAGATAAACCTGGAAACGAGTGGTTTCACCATGTATGTAATCTACCCACTGATGCTTCGTGCATGCTAAATTCGCTACTTATTGCTAGAAAGAACGAAGCTAACCTTCTGTACTACGAGCAGCTCATCACACGGCCGTTTTCAAGGAGAAAAGTCGTAGGGAAGTTCTAGGACAGTACTCAACGTGCGTCCGATATCACTTCCTGTACAGGATATCCTATATATTCTCCGGTAGATATGTTGGTGGTTATACTGAATAAACTGTGGGCGGCGCCTTTGAAAATATGCGCAACCGTGGTATAAACCATCACTACGGTCCTCCTTTTCAAAATTTGCATGGTTCGTAACCCCTACGGAACAATGACAACAGGCCGTATATAAGGGTTTGCTGCTTTTTATCCGCGACCGCATTGCATGGCCTAGCCAACCTAAAAAATTCTCATGTGTGTTAGGAGCAACAACAAAAGTCCCTCCTCCTCCTAGATCGAGAAGGGGGTGCCTATGTGCCTCAAAGTTTCCTTTCCAGCGGCCCAGTTTTAACAGGTACAGTAAGAATAAATATATATCTACTCACGGTTCTCGGTATGAACTGGCTCCGGTGGGACTACGGTCCTCAAATACGTCGTCGGCCATTTTTAGTACACACGCACGTGGAAGGGCATGACCTTTACCCCGTATGCGGATAAGACGCGCAGCAGCGCGCGGTTTATCTGTAGGAGAGAACATAAGCAAAACGAAAAATGGCCCCACGCACTTTTCACTATTGCCTAGCCTTGTCTCCAGCCAGGCCAGGTCAGACTGCCTGCGAACGAGGGTTAGATACGCGCTCAGCAACCTGCGTGTGCGCCGGAGGCTGCGGATATCGCTGAAGCGCGCAGTTTGGGCAGTGGTGTGAGAGCGGGATCTACCTGACGGCTGTTTTAACGGGTGCTTGTTATGAGTACAGAAGACACTCGAAGGCTGCTGTGTTCGTTGGCGTGGTTGAGAGGATTGGGAGGCAATGGAAAACTGCTTGGGGATGTTAAGTTCTTGGTGAGTTTTGTGTATTTTTTGGACGCTGTTGGTGGGCTAGATCTCGCTCTTGTAAAGTTATGATCTATCGAAGCGAGCGTTTGGTAAACCTATGTAGGCATGATGCTTTGTATTGCACTTTCCTACATAGCTAGAGTTTTAGTAAATTATCATAATGGCGTAGAAAGGTGCAATGCTTACCGCTATAATCATGTCAGGAGGAAACGCACATTTCTAGCACAATTGAAACTGTGTAACAAACACAACCACTTTTCACACACGTGCCCGTTTGTCCTATATACCACTTCCCCGCTAATACACAGTAACTGCAGTTCCTCCAGCTCAAGATTGGTAGAGAAGGGTCTAAGCTACAGTTCCTCTAGCCTACCTATACACAGGCCAAGCAAGCCTCTAGAACCAGGCAAGCCTTGGAAACAACACCCTCTAAATGTCACCACGTCGTCATAAATAATTATTTGTGGCTGACTTTCATCTAGGTCTGTCTAGGCGCTCAGACTTGACCAGGGAATCTGTGGGGGTGTGGTCTATGACCAGTTGACTCTACTCTGACCCTAACCCTAGCCGACTCAGCTAGCTGACCTAGACTAGCCTACATAGCTGACCTAAGCCTAGCATAGAGTGGTTTGGCCGAAGCGAGAAGCGACTGTGGCTAATTGCCTGAGGCTGTTTACAAACGTTTAATGAACAAACGTTTTATAAGCAAGTTATATGGCACAAATAGCATTTACAAGCAATGAGGCTGTTTGTAAACTAGTAATGGGATGCTGCTCATGCACTAAAACCGAGGGGCCTCTTAGGAGAATGAGGGGAGAACAGTTGCTGTAGATGGGTTTGGAAAGAATCAGAATAGGCCAGTGGGGAAAGGAGGGGTTGGATTTTTGGTTCGGGAATGCCTGGTAGATGGGGAACTTGTTAGTAATGTCAGGTATGAGGTGATGCCTACAGTGCTTCTATTTTTGAGAACAAGTTGAAGGTGGGTGTGCTAGGACCCGAGATTTTAATGCAAAGGTGGGTGGATCTACTGATGTTATTGGGGTGTTTGAGGAGAAGACTTGAATAATATTTTAAAATGAGGTTGTGGTGTTTTGTACTGGTAGGCAGTTAGTGTCTGAGCTCCTACAAACCAATGTACACAAATGAGGGGTGGGGCTATGCAAGCAGGTGCATGCAACTAGTCTTTCTTTTGTATAGCAGCCAGCACAGTGCCTGAAACCCATACTCTCACCTCTCTCTGTTTTGGTGGAGATTGTGACGGTCTGCGCATGTCTACTGTCACGTCTTTCTTTCGGCAGAGAGGCTGTGGACAGTCCTGGTGCAGACATTCAGCCGAAATAACGTACCATAGTCCCTCATGAGGTGATGGTCTGCTCTCGTCTCCCTGAACCTTTCACATTCCCTGTGCTTAGAAACTCGGCAGTACAAATACATATACGGAGCTCTTTTACTCTGCACTGACTATGTAATGTATCATAGGGACATACCAGATTTCAAAGATCCATTGGGCTGTCCGCATAGTGCCGCATAGTGCCCTCACCACGAGGTCAGGACACTACAAACGCGGAGGCCCTCAGATTGCAATTCGGTATGTCCCTTGCACTTGTACCAGTGCATATTATGCTATACCACATGCATCGAGTTTGTTGCTTTCATGTAGATTGATGACAAAGTGACGCAAGAAGTTGCTGCTGTGCTTGCAAACCCCACATGCTATATGAAAGCATTTCGTTCTATATTCCCCTTCAACACATTAGAGGAGGAGGCTGATGGAACATTTTGGCCTCTAATTCATGTTTTGGCTTGTCGTGGAGTGTATGTTGTGAATGAAGGACAGAGTGTTAATCATGCCATCTTATCTCAGACTAAACCCTTTGAAGTGGTATGTACAATTTACCTGTCTAGTTATTTGTTATGTTTTCTACGATACAAAATTATATTCCAAGCTGTTCCCTCTATGAAAAGTGCAAAATAAGTACCATGATATGTGACCTGCTACGGGAAAAGGGATCATTCGTCGTTTGCCATAACTTTCGAGCTACGGTAAATTGGGTTCAGTTTAGGCTTCAAACACCAAAGATTTAAAAGCACAACGGTGTGGCTACATTTTGCTCCAAAAGAAACTCTCTGCGCAGTCTAAGATGAAAGTTATGACCGTGCAAAGATTGCTCAAGTACACGCCCGTATGTGAGTGAGAGTATACTGTGCCACAGTACGGTGGTTTGAGGTTTGCCTTTGTGCTGTGTTGTGTTGTAGATTCGAACCCCTACCAGCTGGTAGCTCAGTTGGTAGAGTACAGTGTCATGGGTTCGAATCCCACCCAGGGCAGCTCTTCTTCTTTTCAAAAGAAGGAGCTCTCCTGGGTGTAGTTGAGCTGTTTGCCTTGCCTTGCCTTTCTACCTCGCTACCAAGTTGTTGAGACATGTGTAAAAGGAAAACTCAAATTGGCATTTTCTAGGTACTAACACTGTTTTGGTCATAACTCTGTAACGGTGCATGCAATCTGAGAAGTGTTTATATCAGCATGTGGAGCTGACAATGAAAATAAAAATATTTTTCACGCCGAATTGGCCCTTTTCCCATAGCAGATCACATAATTTATGGCATTATGGAATGCAAAGCAGAATGTGTGAATATTTTATTTCTCTGATGTTCCATCTCAGTCCACCCATTTGGCTCTGATTGATGCTCTAATGAGGGCTTATGTGTTGGCAGTTGTGAAGATCCCTCATGTTATGCGAGTAGTCAGGTACGTTTGTAATAATGAGCCTCATACCCAGGCTTACCCAGTATGTTTACACCTCGTGATCATTGCACATTTGACTGCCCTGCATGCTGTGTAAACATGCACATGTGGTGGGGAAGGCCTAGGCACGGTATCACTAAATGGGGTAGTTCGAGCATCGGTAGACGATATATAAGGATGGCACGGGTAAAATCTCACATGATCCACATAATACATACATATGTCTCAAAAATCACGAAAAGACTCTCTATAAAACAAAATACCACTAATCTTATCAATAGTCTACGGGCCAATATTTAGCAATACAGATTCTCTACGTGCCCTCTGTTCTCCACGTGAGAATTCGCTCATACGCAATTTCACGATTTTCGTCATTATCATATTCTTCTTCTTAAGACCTACTACCATTTCCTTACCTGAACCTCTGCTGAATGTTTTACCCTAATCATCGTCCAGGTTCCACAGAGTTGTGCATGGTCCACTATGGTCTAGAGTCACTAGAAATGCTAGCTTCTAATTGCATGCGCAGGCACTGCGTGACAAGTGAATCAGTTCAATGTCAGTGTCCATGAACATCAGAGTTGAACGGTAAAACTACATGCCGTGTGAGTCAGAAACATATCTTATACGATGGGGAGGGGTTATATATATTATACATATATATATATCTTTGTCTCTCTTGATTAATAGGCAGCACAAAGATGTAGGATGGTGTCATGTGCTTGTGTGTCTTAGCTGTGGTACTGCCCCTTGTCTTTCCCTTTTTGTTCTTTCCCTTTTTTCATGTTTTGCCTCCCTATGTCCATCATGTTGAAGAAATGATTATTCCACTTTATACGTATAGTCTTGGATATCCGATACTCAGATGTGCATGATTTGTTTGGTAAAAAGTTTTGTTTACGCGGCCATGCAATACATTTATTAATATGGGGTCACTTATGTTTATGTAACTCACAAATGGTAAGGGCTATGTAATGCAACTTGCCTCAACTACAATCACCAGCATCATACATCTAGCCTTAGGCATTTTGCTGTATAAATACTTCTTTCTCCTCCAACTTGCTTATGGAACACGCATGGAGATAACGAAACTTTGTAAATATACATCGTCTCCCATGGAATTTCATTTGGAGACATGTTGTAAACACAACACTCAGCTTCAGACTGTTTCTACTTTCGCTCATCAATATTGCTACTGTAGTCTGCACCTCACAAGATTTATTTTCGTAATGCATTGACAGACGTTTGATTACATGTGTGTGACATAGGTAGTCTATTGATAATTTTTGGAGTTTTGCCCTTTTGTTTATAGTAAAATGAGATTGAAAAGGTATTTGTTAGGATTTATTAAAAAATTTATTAATAGACTTTTAGGATTTAATTTTTTTTATTAGGATTAAAAAAAAAAAACCTGTTGGCTTTTCCTTTTTCTCCCCCCCCCCCTTTTGCATTGCATTTTTTGCTTGCTTTTTCTTCTTCATTTTATTTAGCTTTTTTGGCTTTTTTATTTTTTTTTTTTTTTGGCTTTTCTCCTTTTCTCCCCCCCCCCCACTCCCTGCTTTTTTTTTTTTTTTTCTCCCTTTTCTTCTCCCCCCCCCCTTTTGCTTTTTTTTGGCTTTTTTTTTTTGCTTTTTTCTCCCCCTCCCCCCCCCTTTTTTTTTTTTTTGTTTCCCTCTGCTTTTTTGCCCCATTCCCTTTTTCTCCCCCCCCTCCTTCCCTCTCTGCCCCTATTTTGTTTTTTTTTTATTCTCTCCCCTCCTTTTTCTCCCCCCCCCCTTTTTTTTTCTCTCCCCCCCCCTTTTTTTTTCTTTTTTCTTGCTTTTTTTTTTTTTTTTCTTTCTCTCCCCCCCCCTTCCTTCCTTCTCCGTTTCCTCCTTGTTTTCTCCGGGCCCTGCGGTCCCCTCGGGCATGGGCTCTCCGCCGCCTTGTTTTCTGCCCCGCTTGTCTCCCACTCCCGTTACTCAAGGCAAGCCGATGTATTGTCGAGTGAAGGGGGAGAGGGTAGGCAGAGGAATCCGAGCCCGCAAATCGGTTACGGGCGGGATAGACCACCCACCACCGACAGACGGCGCGGGGGACAAGAGGAAGGAAGGGAGTTGTGGGGCGCCGGCGAGGCGGCGGGGAGGGGCGGGGGGCGACGGGGGGACGGGCAAGCACTGAGGGACCCGCCAGGGCAGGAAAGGCGGGAGTGAAGGGCGGGCGGTCGAAAGGCTCGGAAGCCGGGAGGTGGGACCCGAAAAAGAGAAAAGCGGGGAGGGGAACAAAAGGGGCGGGCGGGCGGGGGGGGGGCCAGGGGGGAGGTGGGGGTGGAGGCCTCAACTGAAGGAAACGTGGAGGAAGGAAATGTCTAGATTCAAGATTACTGGGGATGCAACCGTGACATTTGACAGTGGGTGTGAGCGTGTAATGCGCCTTGGCTTGTTGTGTGTGTGTATTTTTCTATTTTGTTCACTGTTGTGCACTCCAATGAGTATGGGTACTGCGTTTATTGGCTGCAGTGTAGTGTGCACAAGAACCAACCCTAAAACGGATAAAGTGACTCATACACTGGTGTTGCTTTTTCCCACAACGAACATACACATCCATTTAGTGAGGGTTTTTCCACTTCACAGTCTTTATACCCTCTCACACATTGTTTCTCGCAACAACATTTACAAGTGCTTGGTTTATCTGTAGTGTTGACTCTCTGTACTGTTTTTCTATCCCTTGCACTATGAATTGATACCAACGGCAGTGATTGATATTTGTAATGGTGGTTGTACTAAACCACGTGGCATTCGAGAGCAGTGGATGTTAACGCAAGCAAAAAAGAGCCAGTATGCTAGTAACAATGGCTTACCTATACCAGTTTGCCAGCCTCATGCATTGTGGGGTGCACGAGTTACTTGGAGGACAGCCTTTAACACTACTCACTGATGCTCTATGTTCCGCATTAGATCGAGAAATTTGAATTGCCAGTGACCGCTCTGGACAGGCTGTCCATGGGTCATGAGATGAAAAAAAGAGCTGATGTGGGGTAGTGATTTGTTTGTTGTGCCTTGTGCCTTCACCTCGTAGGTTTTCACATGCATAACTAGTTTGAGTTTGGCGTAACTGGGTTGGTTTAATTACCCCGGTCTGCTCCCACATACTGAGTGAGAGTAGACGTGCCATATCACAGTGGGTTGATGTTTGGCTTTTGTCTTGTGTGTGTAGATTTCAACCCCTACCGGCTGAGTTTTCCCTTGGTAGCTCATCTGGTATAAGCGCTCCTCTCCTAGACGCAGTTAATGGGTTCGACCATCCCACCTAGGGCAGCTTTGGCTCTCCGGGGTGTAGTTGAATTTGTTTGTTGTGCCTTTACCTTTCTACTGTACGCCTCTAGTTTTCACATGTGTAGTATGTACACAGGCAGAATGCGTATGCTGCTTTCTGCAGGTTTACACTTAGTGCTTTCTTATTCTGCCAGCAACATAATGTGTTACCCAGTTGTTTGTAAAATTCCTTTATAATACTGCAAGTATATCTCGTAAAATAAGTTAGTGGTATTCGTCCTGCAATATGATCTGTTTAATCCTCCATTATGCCTCTTGGTCTGTTATTTGCTATTCCTATGAATGCGCAATCGCATATTTGTTTTTGCCTCGCTCCTGCCACCAATGCGTAAAAAACTCGGAGCGACTGAGGCCGCTCGTTGCGCCCGCTCTACTGACCTCGCCGCGCGAAGCCAGAACTTCTACTATGACGAAGTTACACTTCCTTTGGTGACTATTGACATTCTAAGCATGACTAATTGACGACGACGTACGTACGCATATCCGAGAATACAAAACCCGGAGTAGTCTGCCTCACGCTAACGATGAGCGCTCGGGCAATTATATGCACAGCTCAGTTTGCAGTGACCTGTTGTTATTTTTATAGAAACATTCTAGATCCCTGCAAGAACATCGCACAGTTGATAGAGTAATTGCGGCTCGACCAAATGGGCTTTTTTTGAGAAGGCTGTAACTGGGGGCAAAGTCGTCCTGCCCTTTTTTTTAGTGCATTATCATCAGCAGGATTTTCAATTTTAAAGGTGCGTACCATGTATTATAACTTAGTTTTCCATATTCTGGGAATGTGTATGACCACCACATCTATACAGTGAGATGTGATTGAAGACGTGGGCCTGTACATACCTTGATGGGTGTGTACTGTATGATTAACCGACTAGTAGTACGAAACCGTCAGGCAGGCAGTTAGCCAGCCCTGACCGCAGACAGCCAGCCTGACCGCAACAGCCGCCTGACCGCAGACAGCCTCACCGACAATATACATAATAAGTAACTATAGCTATCGGGTCCTTCGCTGCGTGGACTGGTGGTGTTTCTTTTTTGCTCTGCAGTTCAAGCCTCCTTTTATTTTGGTTTTTGCCTGGATTTACTTTCTAAGAGGAGAAAGCTTTCTACCCTGTCATGGTTTTTGTTTGGTTGTCATCCGTCAGTTTTCAAATTCTACCGCTATTGAATGCACAGTCCTGCGAGCAATGCTTTTTTAGTGCAGAACTCCCCTACGAAGGAATGGTTTGTACAAGCCTTTAGAGGAATGTGGGGAATTTCTGAGAGCCTAATTAAGCTGCCTGTATTTTGCTTGTTTGCTTTTTTTTAGGTTATTTAGACTGGTGCAAGTTTTTCCTATAGACAACAGCAGGGCCCTTGGCCAAGATGGAGTGTGGGAGAAGCGAGAAACATTTCAGCACTTAGATAGGTACAATGCTATACAAATACTGAAGCCTGGAAGTTTTCCAAAGGAGGGATCAATTTTTTTTTTTTCCCATTCCACCGGTGGACAACTTCCATTTTTAGATTGGACAGGGTCGGGGGGGACCACATGTGGACACACCTCGCGTATTGGGGGGTTTCCGGGCCAACAAATGTGACCAGAAGTCATGTACTCTAAGCTTTCTAGCTCACT